AGAAAATATTTAAGATTTCCAAGATATTTAACTTCAAACTCTTCTAATAAATACTTCTTCAAATTATGTAATTCCTTCACATCATTCCCAGATAGAATAATATCATCAACATAGACTACCAATATAGAATTTTTCCAGTGTGAGATTTCTTAACAAAAAAAATATGATTAGCTTGACCCCGTATGTAGCCTAGCTTCAAAACAACCTTTGTGAATATGTCAAATCAAGCTCGGGGAGATTGTCTAAGCCGTATAAGGACTTCTTGAGTTTGCAAACCTGATTCTTTGCCATACCTTTTCAAAATCAGGTGGGGTTTTCATGTAGACTTACTCTTCAAGGTCACCATTTAGAAAAGTAATTTTCATATCCAGTTGTTGCAAGTACCAATCTTGATTGACAGCCAATGAGAAAAGAGTTATGATAGTATTGACCTTTGTGATAAGAGCAAAAGTTTCATGATAGACTATCTTATAAGATTGTGTAAATTTTCTAGCTACCAATCAAACCTTGAATCTCTCAACTGACGCATCTGCCTTGTACTTTATAGTGAAAATCCACTTGCACTCCACGGGCATTTACCTAGCTGGCAAATCAGTAAAGTCCATGATCCGCTCTTCTCAAATGCATCAATCTCATAGTTTATTGCGTTCTTCTACTCTGAATTTTTAATGCCTCTTGTATCGTGCTATGAATCTGAATATCATCAAGAGAAGTAGCAAATACTCTATAAGATGGTGATAGCCCTTCATAAGAAACATAATTCCCAATTGGATGACTTGTACATCTCTCCTAACACCCTTCCTCAATGTAATTGACATGGTAGAGTCATCAATGTTAAGAATTGGCACATCTTTAGCCTTATCCTATATTTTCTTCAGGTGGACTTGAAATTGAGTCAATATCTTGGCCACATGCTGGTAGTGATCCGTGCTCTAGCTCCAGTCTTTTCCTCCTCCTAATGTAAACTTGAAAATTTTCATTAGCAAGTTGTGGAGCCACATATTGAGCAAGAACGGAAGAAGAAATATTTATGGTCTAGAATGATGACTGAACAAGCACGGGTGTGGACAACTCTTGTGTACTATCTTTGGGCACAAGCACGGGTTGAGAAGAATTTGGTGACTTTGAGTGGGAAAAGGGCACATACTCAAGAAAAAACTCTCAAACTTGATATTCATTCATGCTTTCCCCCTGAACATGATATTTGGGATAGAAGACACATGTTCAAAGAAAGAGACATCCATAATGATGTAAAATCTTTTGATGTCTTGTATCCTTTTTGAGTTAGAGAGTACCCTAAAAAATATACTTATTGGTTTTAGGATCAAATTTGCTATGATGTTGAGGATACAAATGAACAAATGTCGTGCAACCAAATACCTTGAGTGGTAAATCGGATAAAGTTGCTCATATGTAAAGAAAACTTTCCAGAAGAATCTGAGATAAATATTGAAAATTAAGGACTCTGAATGGCAAACAATTGGTCAAATAGGTAACTATGAGAATGGCTTCCACTCAGAAATAATTTGGAACATTAGAGAAAAACAAAAGACACAAGGCCATCTCCAAGAGATGTCTATTCTTGTGTTCAGCCATCCGAATTCAACACAAGAATTTATGTGAATACACCCATGATTCTGAAGGTAGGTATTAGACTGCTAGTGAAGTATTCCCTGACATTTGAGTACTTGAATTTTAAAGTTGAAATGATTTTGAACCATAAAATTGAAGGTTTGAAAAATTTGCCCGATCTCAGACTTTTCTTTCATAAGGAAAACCCAAGTTACCCTTATATGATTGTCAACAAATGTCACAAACCATCGAGTGCCAAAAACATTTTGTATCCTTAAGTCTTAAGAGACCCCATGCATCAATATAAATCAAAGAAAAAGCAATTCAATGTTTGTATGTAATCTAAGGATATAATGTTTGAATATGTTTTGCAATCTGATAAGTTTCACAATGAAAAGATGTTAGACTTTTATTGATAAATAATTCATGAAATAATTTTGCAAGATACACAAAGCTAGGATGACCAAGAAAATGGTGTAACAATATAACTTCTATATCTTTATTTACATTGGAATTGGACACATAATTGAAAGATTCTAATAGACTCTAAGATTGGACGCAACTTGCTTGAGAAACTTAGTTTGAGGATCTATCACATGGGAGGAGAAAAAGCTTGAAGCACAATTCAACATTGCCAATCATCTTCCCCGATTTCAAGTCTTGAAAAACATACAAATTTGAATAAAATTTAGTAACACATTAAGGGTCACAAGCCAATTTGCTAATATATAAAAGATTACAATTAAAGTTTGGAACATGGAGGACAAAGTTGAGATATAATTCTTTAGTAAATTGGATGGAACATGTTCAAGCAATTTTAGATTTTGAACCATCAGCAATATGGATGGACGAGTGACCACTATTTGGCTTGTAATTTTGGAAAAGAGCAGCATCTCATATCATGTGATCAGAAGCACCAGTGTCGACTATCAACGGTCTCATTTCTCCTCTATTAGTAGTGAAGGTAACATGTGAATATGTTTGAGCAACCAAACCTGCCCCAATAATGCTACCATTGTCAACTTGACTAAACAATTTTTGCAACAAATCCATCTATTTTTTGCTAAATGGGCTAGGCTCAGGAATAGGAGCACTCTCAAAGTTGGAAACCATATGTGTTTTGCTATCTCTAACAAACTGTGGCTTTGATTTCAAATCAACTAGTTTGCCATGGAGCTTCCAGCAAGTCACGTTATCATGACCAACTTCTAACAATCTCCACCATTACTGTTAAATGATCGGACGGTAAGGGCTGATGCATCCAACGTTGATGCAGGTTGTTCCTTAGATCTCATTATCACTTTCTTTCTACTTTTTCACACCTAACTCTGAGAAAGCCTCCCCTAAGATTAGGAAGTGATTTAATAATGCCTATGATTCGACCTCGAACATTATCCAACTCCCTATTAAGTTCTAAGAAAAACTTGAACATGTTTTTTTTATTCCACAATCTGCTTGTATGTACATTACTACATCTCTTGAACATGTCCATGAGTGTGTTTCGAATAAGTCAAGTTGTTGGCAATACCATGTGAGTGTGTTGTAATATTGGGTAATAGACTACTCTCCTTGGTATAAGTCATGAAGTATTGATTCAAATTGAAACAGTTCTAAAGTATTTTCAAAGCTAAAATAAGTCTCTTTGGTTGCATCCCATATTTCTTTTGCAGTCCCAAACAACAAGAAATTTTCACCTATGTCATTGTTCATGGAATTGATAAGCCATAATATGATCGATGACCATACTATTTTCAATCTTCCATTTTCTGAAACTCGGATTTGTAGTCTCTGGCATGGCTGCTACTCCCATGAGACACTCATCATTTTCCTTACCACAAATAAACATCAACACAGATTGTGAACAATGCAAATAATTATGGCCATTTAATTTGTGTCATGTGATGAGAATACGAGAAGAATCACTACCACCAAGGTTTAAATTTTTGAGTTGCTTCATGATTTTGGTGCCGTGATGTCGAATGTTTGTGATGAGGTCATTTGTATTGCAAAGAAGAAGACGAGGGAGAAGAATGACTAATGTTGCTGGAAATATAGAAGAAGAAGATCGAAACAAACACAAAACTAGAGAGACTCGGTCAGAGAGAATCGACCTGAGAAACAGAGAACACTCGGCCAGAAAGAATCTGTCAGAGAGAAGCGGATTGAGGGATTAGGGTTCAGAGAACTAGCTCTGAAACCATGAAGAATTTCTTAATTTATTATTCTTCTTATTAAAAATGGTACTAGATCTACATATATATGTATATATATATATATATATATACACATACTAAAAAAGTGTCTAATAAAGAAAATGACTAATAACTTAATTCTTTCCTAAAATTTAGGAAACAGAATTATATGAGAATAATTCTTTCTAAAAAATTAGGAAATAAAATCATAGAGGAAGATCACAATCGATCTTTCATTTTATTCCTAAAAATAATTTCCTAACTTTAACTTTCAAATATTCAACAAATTTCTTTGATGAATATCAAAAATTCAATTCGTTAAAATAGAATTATTTTTTTCAAATCAGGCAAATTCATGTTGTGGCTACAGTGAATCCTGGATTGTTCCCATGGCTTTGGAATTATCTCGATATCATTTTACAACAATGATTTATTGGGGCTTTGCTTTTCGAATTGATTTCCCATGGCTTTGTTTTGGTAATGATTCCATGTGGATTTGTTTTTACGCAATTGATGTGCCTGACGGAGGAATGATTTTAATGGAATTGTATTTACATTGAAGACATATAGATTGAAGATAGTCCTAGGGTGCAACTAGTCCTTTCAGCTATTCTGCTTGGTTTCATATTCACTACAAGACTACTCTTGGGCCCTATTCCACTATCAATTTCCCGTATAAGCCACCATATCTACTACCATCCAAGATTTCAACATTGGTAAGTAACAGCCTTTTAAGAAATTATCAGAGAAATGGATGGCGGTGCTTCTTGTGCAAAGGACAGAATACCATGAAAAATCAAAGGGCAGTTAAATGCTGATAAATATCAAAACATGCTGCATATAAATGTGGGATCATTAATTGAATAAAATTTTCTTATTTCAATTTTCCATCTTGCATAAAAAACCACAACTTTTACTTGCTAAAGATAAGCATGGACATGAAGTGGATAGTGAATGCTGAGCAGTTGTTACATAGTGAACGTCAAAATGAAACTCTCAGTCCAACAAAATGTTCAACTGACCCCATATTTACTTACAAGTAAAGGACAGCACGCTAAGTTTCACTACATGTATGCAAACCACCTTAGTCAAGTGTAAGCGTGCCCTTTTTTTCTTGTTGATAGACACAATTCATAGTGCAATAAAAAACCCAGTGCCAAAAACATGCTTAGCTCAAAGAAGATGCAAGCAGAACGTATGTAAGGTAAATATTGTAAAAGTCAAATAACTGCATACCGTGTTATGCATATTAACAGCATGAGGGAGATTATTGAGGTAAGGAAACCAGTCAGAATTCTGCAACAAGATAAAAATATGAACTAATATACTCAAGCATTTAGCCATCAAAAACATACAATATTACTTCTGCAGCATCATAACTCCTCATCACTGAGAAGTAAGAGTCCATGGCATAGAAAAGGAAGCTTTACAAACTTAAATGTTTCCAGCTTAACCTTTCCTAGTTTCTGCTCAGCTAAAAGAACCACAGCAAGACGAGATATTGTTCCAACATCATCAACAATAAGAGATTCAACTTCTGGGAGAATTTTATCAGGTGTGAGATGCTGCAAAAAAGCATAAAAAATGATGTTGCTGATTTTTGCTTCCTAAAATTGGAGAGATCATTAAGGTCAGCAAAAAATCACACCACGGTATATGGAATCTTTAGTATACAGTCTCCATCTTCTATGGGTTTTGAGGCAAATAATGACCTGAAGTTGAAAATTAGCACGGTAGAGATTGATAATCATGCCAAGTCAAGTTTATTATTCGCCAGAAAAAAGTTGGTGGATTTCAGAGAAAAAAGATTCTGTTTAAATATCAAACAAGAAGGATGGTATGATAGTCTAATGGAATTTTTTAATAACATAAAGGTCAAAGATTGGTTTTAATAAAAACAATCATATCCTTAAGCAAAGGGTTCTAACATGGCCTATATATCATAGAAGTAGCTAAAATAACAAGCATAACAATGAATAAGGCTCCCATCGATGCTAAGTAAGGGGAAGTGCTGATGTATGAAGTCCAACCCCACATTTAAAAGATGCTCTTTTAAAGATTCAAAGTTCAAACCCATGAGATCAAGGTCATAAAGGGGGCAAAAAAATTCTTGTTAAAACCTGGCCTTAGTAAAAGTGGTAAAACTCAGAAAATAAATTCAACGCAATTAATTCTTATAGATCCAACTTGAAAAAAAAAAAAAAAACTAAAATGATTCACCATTCATTACTCGGGCTAAATTTAATCCTGAGGAACAATGTTCTTATCACTCAGGACTACTGAGAGGTTGATGAAACAAGGTACCTGGATAGAAGAAGGTCATTTTCATTATTCAAATTTGTGACCTCTACCTCAAAATATGGCACCCTAGTAGTCTAGTGCCACCCTTGAAGTTGAAGTGATCATTTTGTGATTAATGATTAATCTAACAGCCAAACATACAATTTTTGGGCTATAACAAAAGACCTCCGAATATTTTGAGACCTTCAGAAATTGGGACAAAAAACAACTTTGAATGGAATACACCATGAAAAGAAGAGCTTCAGATGTGTTGATAAAATAAACAATACCAGTCATTTCACTTTAACTCAATTTAAATTCATCAACGAATCTAACAAAATGAAATATAAATTAATGTTTTATGATATCATATATAAATGAGTTTTTCCTTGATATTTTTTAAGGAATAACAGAATGCAAGCACAAAAAAGCAGGAAGGGCTGCTGTTAGGGAAAACCTGCCATAAGAAGAAGTTCCAATAGCTAACACTGATGATATCTCAAGGCCAGTTTTTCTCCTTAGCCATATCATCAACTCATTACATTGGTTGAACAGCTGTGAGGTATCCTGTTAATATACAGTTATACACAAAAGTAAAGTCACATCACTTTACACAATTTGAGGGATTTTCTGAAGCAATGATCCCGCACATTCTAGTTTAAGCGTCAACCTTTCATATACAGCATAACAAAGCAAGATTAAGAATGAAACTGTAACATAGCACAAAGCAAGAGAAACAAGGAATTATCCGGATAACAAATTATGGATTAACCATATAAGTTCTAAAATAAATCTCTGCGATAGGAGGCGATAGAGGTTTAGCCCCGGAAAAGCCATTAGCAGCTGATTTTGCTCGTGTTGTGACTACACGGACCGCGATAGAGATTAAATCAACTTGGAGTCCGTCATTTTCTTTGAAATTAATAACATCACATTACCATTATTTTACTAGATATTACTGAAACCCTCCAAATTAAAAAATTGTCTGCCCTCGGAGACATTTCTGAGTAACTAAGCCCTAAACCCTAGAAACCGGATTTTTCCAATGCAAGCCACACCAACATTTTGAACTATAAAATCCATGCATTCACACAATAGCTTCCTAGCTTTGACGGAACTGGCCAACAAGGTGATATTTCTAGTGCAAGAGAAGATATATATAGAAGATGCGTTCAACACTCAACAAGCAGACAAACCTTCAATGAAGCGGCTGCGACGTTCAAAAATCGCCGGCTAAACTGCGGAATACGGTGAGGTTGAATGCGGGAAAAGATGCTTGCCATCCGGATCAGAGTTCGCATTACTTCAGGCCTTCGCCTTACGGCGGCCCAAGCAATCGGAGCAATTCAAAGCGCACTACCGGGCTGAAGAAGCTTTTTCAGTCGGGCAATCCTTCAGATCCGTTGGATTTACACCAGATAGGCTTCTTTTGTGATGGATTTCTTACCAAAAATAAAATTTTTTTCTATAAAAAAACAATTTAATAAAAAAATAAAAAAGCTTTATCAAATAAAATCTCCTAGTCAATAAATTTGTTAGATATAACAAATTATTTTTAATTATGTATATTGTGTGTTAAAACATTTATGACGATGAAGAGAGTTTATCGTTAATGAATTATACATAAATTTTACAAGCACGCTAATAAATAAGTTGCACTGAATAATAGGAGATGTTATATTCTTTATATAGAAACCCCGAAAAAGAGAAAAATCATGAAGATTAGCTTAGTTAAAATGATTCAATTAATATGAGTTGTAGGTTACAAATGATGGCCTTACTTGTAATTAAAGAAGATATTAATATTATATGATTCACATGATTTATGAAAGATGTCTTCTATGATGGAATTAGATGGAGCCTTTGGGTATTAGAATTGTCATTAAGAGATTATTGGTTGTAATCATTCTCCATATAAGAGCGAAAACTAAAGACCAAAAGGGTGGGCATGGGCCATATGAGAGGCAAAAAAAAAATGGTCATAAGAGAGGCAACATATATCAGTGTCATATTTGATGATGATTATCTAACTTATTTGCAGTAGTGGATATTAATGTTTGTGTTTGGTATACTGTTAGACTATTGATTGTTGATTGAAATGTATTGGAATTGTAACAAACATATTTATTCTTTTTCTTTGCATGGAATACAATGGTAAGATTTGGTTATTTGTTGAGCTATGGGCTCATTATGTGATTTTATATGATTTTAAGCAAAATGTAAGGAGCTACCATGATGATGTTAGACAATATTGATATTTTAGTTTTATCTTCAACTCTCTAGCTTTATATGCATTCTTTCATAGTCGATACTAGCAAAGCCCTACATGGGGTCCTGGTTGGATACCCATTGAGTACCCACGCTCTGTGTTGGCGGGCTTTGCCCACCCACACTCACCTATGATGACTTTTCGGATGTCATACCCACCCACACCCACCCACTTTTCACGCTTAATGAATGCAGTATGTCATAGAATAATGGCCTTGAGGTTTTTTGCCATTTTCTCTGACTGTAAACTTTCAAGCCACATATCAAAATTTATCATGATTGTGACGCGGTTCAGTGTTGCGCACTGCGTAGTAAGGATTATTATAATATATTGCATGTATATGATGATTAGTAATGTAAATCGATTCTCCTCTAATGTTGAATACCCACCCATACCCACCCACGAGGCTATGGGCATACCCATACCCACCCATGCCCATTGGGTATGGGTGGGTACGTGGGTGGGTGTGGGTATGGGTGCACAATGCAGGGCTCTGGTCGATAGTGACTATTGTATACATTGTTTTGGGACTTTGGGCCTTATAGTAGAATATAAATATTGATTGTAGTAATAAAATTTAGTATTCCGTTGTTTAAATTTATTTGTATTTTCCTTGATGCAAATAGTAGGCTCTAGTTGGTGATGATCTAGTTATAAATGAATATTAGTTGTTGATTGAATTATAAGAAGAATGATAAATGAATAAAGAAAAAAAGAGATGAAATTCTTTCACTTTAGATCATGGGGCATGACACTTCAAACGCAAAACCTCTATCCACTCAAGGTCTATTTCATATGTGGAATGAATTACTATTTATAAAAAATTTATGATAATTTTTGTTATTTTTATCAAAATCCTAAATACTATATCAGATGGTTATGAATGATTCATCTTGATCATTGATATTTTTGAATACTTGAGCATCTCAAGCTCATTAGATTTGTCTCATCACCATGCAAGATTCAATTATAAATTTGTTAAAACTAGAGTACAAATGGTCAAAATTCAATTATGAAAGTTTATAAAATGCTTGTGTTAAGATTTGTGCCTAATCAAATTAACTTCTTGGTGATGTATTACTCACCACCAACCAACACTAAAGATCACCAATGTTTTCCATCATTCAAACATTAATTGTCATCAACGATCATTGTCGCTTGATAATCTTCATTAATTGCCAACTAAAAGTCAGACAAGAATACCTAAAATACTAATATTTACATATTTAATACCTATATTTATAATTTACATCATCCGTCACTTTATTAATGGATCTCGTTGAGCATAATATTAAACTTGGCAGTATCTTATGTAACAATCTACAGTTCTTAAATAATTTATTTAAAAAATAAAAATTTCTGAATGATGGGCCTATGGAGTTGTGATTTTGAGCATCACAACTCTGGGGGTGCAGCGTTAGGGTGCCAGAATTTGAGGCATCGACATTGATGCACTTTTTTTCTACAGTAACTATGAAATGAGCATCACAAGGAAGGAACATTTTTCTCCACTTAGCCCTACCCTTCCCATTTATTCTATTTGTTTTCAAGGAAGGAAAGAAGAGAAGGGAGAGAGAAAGCCCTCCATGGTGGTTTCATTCGTCACTTATGTTATAGATTTTGTTCTACTTAAAGTATGTGACTATACTCTTACTCATGTTTTCATTTATTTTGATTTCTACGATTTTAATCTTCTCAAAATTGATAAAAAAATGCTTTCTCATATATTATTGAGCTTTCATCATATAACTTTTTTCTATACCATAGATATAGATATAGATTTTATGAACATTTTGACTGTAATACTATTAAATTTCACTGAGTGAAATAATAGTTATGATTTTCAAAAGTAAATGAATAGTATTCAAAATTTTCTACATTTTATGGATTATTGCATTTTATACATGATATTGCATTGTATAGAGAAAATGATATAATTGATATATGAGATAAATATTATATTTATATGTAAGCAATGAAGGTTGGCAATTAACATTATAATTAATTAATACAAGTTAACTCTTAAAATATAATACCATGTGTATGAGGGTGACCCGATGAGATTTTCTTAAAATAAAAAGTTGGTGATGTGTATAACCAATTGATTGACTATATTGATGGTATAGAGTGACGAATCTTCATTGATTCAATGAAAGACACTTATTTAAATAAACAATTAATAGAAATAATTTAAAGATATGATTAACCAATGATGATAGATTGATAAGATATCAAAACCATAGATGGAATGATGAAAATCACATTAAAGCTAGATGTGTTGTCATGCTCTTCAAAATTTTATTTATAATTGCATTTACATGATAATACATTGAGCTATTTTGATAGATACAACTGATATAGAACTGATCGAACTAGTATTGATATTGATACAATATAGTATAATATATTAACATAGCACATTAATTGATAGTTTTTTTAATCAATTTTTCTTATAGGTTTATTGACCTCTTTTGACTTTATCGATTATATTAGTTTTACTATTGATTTAATACTGATTTTATAGATTATTTAGTGATTATAATGAAAGACTATTGATTCTTAATTGATATTGACTAAAATTAGAGCGCCATACTAATTTTTTTTTATCTTGCATTGATTACAGTGGTGAGTTTGGATTACTTGTTGGGCTTTTATGTTCATTATGTGATTTTATATGATTTCAGGTAAAGGTAAAGAGCCTGTAGCATAAAGCTAAGTAGTGATGATGCTCTGATGCTAGTTTAGTTTACTTCGAGCATTTAATTTTATATATCATCAAAGCTAACTAAGATGTAATTATAAGTCTAGAAATATAATTATGTTTCCTACTATTTATTGTTGTTTATATTTTTTTCCGAGTGCAATTAGTTAGCTTTGATTGTCAATAATCCAATTGTTAAAAGATTGAAAAAAAAAATTTGAAAAAAGAAATAAAAAGGAAATTAAATTCCTCCATTTTAAATTTTGGGTTGTCGCAATTACATCATATGACTTTTTTAATAAGATCTTCATGTCCTATATCATGATGTTTGCATGCACTAAACCGGCATGCAAAACATAGTATTTTTTACCCATGCTGGCCTCTTTGAATTTTTAGTTATGCCATTCAATTGACCACCAACCCTATTCTTTTCAATCTCTCATGAATCAAATTTTTTGCTCCTATCTACATAAATTTGTGATTATCTTTTTTTGACAACATAATGGTGTACATCCCTTCTCAAGCTACTCATAGCTACCAAGGCAATGTGCATTAACATGGACATATTGTCAAATCTAACTGCCTAAAGGTCGATATGGCAAAGCTAGATGTAATAGTATAATGGTAAACACCATAAAATATTCGATAATTATGTGAGTTCATGTATTTAACAAGGTGTTATCAACATTTAATTCCCTTTTAAAAGGAAAATAATTTATAAATAAAAATATTTTCTAAATTCCTTAAAAATTTCTAAAGTTTAATAAAAAAACTATCTCCTCCAACTCTCCATGGGGATTTATAAAGAAACCTCATTTGGGCTAAGGGAGAGACATAATACTCATATGAAGGACCCATTTATCTCTTATAAAAGGTGAAAAAAATTATTTGACAAGAGCTTAAAGACCGTCCAAAGTAATCAAGGCTTAGTTCTCTTACATAAACTTTAGATCTCCATAATAACAAGAGGTAAAATTGTCTGATAAGAGTTTAAATTTTTTTAAAGGTGATCAAGGATCATAGTCCCTTTGATGAGGCTTAGCTAGATTTTACCTTAAAAAAGGTGTTGAACTTACTCATTAGACAAATCGGATCTGGGGGTAATCAAGACTTTTAGTATGTACAATGCAGCTTCTATCCTTAGTGTTCTCATCAAACAAATCAAATTTTAAGGTCAGTAAGGCCCACTTTTGCACTTCCTCTAAAATGTTATACTTCAATGTAAATGTTGTAAGTATCAACATTATTATTATTTTGTTTCTAAGATTATTTGAGGTGTGTTGCAGTCGAAGAAATATTACTTTTTGAAAATTAACTTTTAGAGAAAAGAGATTCCACATGGATATTACATTCGGTTTCAACATCTATGATGTCAAACATCATCATTAGCTTTTATACCGTTTGAATCATTTGAGATATGTCATAGTCGAGGTGGAAC